ATTCTTTGCTCCATCGCTCTTTACGTGACCAGACTTGTTTCATCAGCTTTAGTAGCAGGCAAGCACTCAGCGCCGTGTATCATGATGGACTCAACTTGAATTCACATTAAAGCATAATTTGGTAATTTACCTGCAATACTTTTTCGACTGATATCTTATATCTTTACTGCTAACCATGTTGAGATGATGAATTTCATAAGTCTTAACAGACTGTGCTTTAGTAAAGATCCTACAGGTGGTGATTACAAAGAACAGCAACAACTTTTAAACACAATCCATATGATCATTCCTTATATACGAAGCTATTAATGTTAGCAATAAGATTATTGTTAGCAATACCGTTATCTAGTTAATCACATTCGTCCTGACACAACGGGTCGACAACATGATATTAGAATCAAGAATTCCATCGGTTTACTACTAGAGGGGTATATTTCATTATAGCATGGACTCTCTTCAGATTGCCGAACTTTGTTCGTGAAGTACGCCAATCGTTCGTCGTTCAACAAATTAAATATGATACACAATTTCATGCAGTATTATTAGAATGGATATGCAAATTTCAAATAATCAAATAATTTTCTTTATTTCCTGGTATTTTTTGTCAAACACAGTCCTTTCTTGCCCGTGAACTGTGTTTTGTTTTTCAGGGTAAGTGAAGCAGTAAAAAAAGTCTGACATGTAATTTTTTTCGGATTAATACAGATCAAATTACTACCTCCCGATTCTGATGTATACTCAAACATGGACCGATTTTCAGCTGTTCTCTCAGGTCCATGGTAGAATGTATTTGAAGAAAGAACTCATTATCTCGTGGACAACAACCTCAAGCGTACATTGGGAATAAATTCACCACTCATCGTACTCATAAAACCACTAATCGTTATAAACGCGATAGGCATGTGTTAAGTCACCCTTGCAAGCTGAAGGTTTCGCATCTTGCATATTTGTCGACCTTTGATCTTTCTCCTAACTGTATTTTAAGAAAACCGTTCTTAAAACGAGCTGATGTGCCTCAAACGCTGTTAAGGACAAGATGGTTGCCTAAACAATAGAACAGATTAGGTCACTATTCTCATTTATGACTGAAGTGACCACAATGGCAATTTTCGTCGCGCAGTACACCTTCTGCACAGAGGATAACCAAGATAATTGGCTTCATTTTTAGCATGGCCACAATGCAATTGATGGCAAGTGCAGTTACTAAAATATTCTGCAGTTCTTTTCAGAGAATATCCGCAGTGGTTATTCCAGAATGGATAGGAGCTACGGTCATGCAGTCTGAGGCGAGGGTCTCTCAGAGATGCAATTCTCTCAGTCCACTTGACCATCCTGTGTGATAATCAGCACAAGGTATTATAACCCACAAAATGGTCTTTCCTAACAGCTTCATCAATCAGTGAAATGCCGTCATCGACTTCTAATGAAGAATCTTTCTGGCATTACGTCTTCCTGCTAGCAAATTGTAAGGTTACTCTGTTATAACGTTGGACACGTTTTTTCTCGTCATCTGCTGATAGTGATGCTGGTACAATCTCTGCACCCTTAAATTTCTGTTATTGCTTTCCATTTGAACGTATACGGCATAGTGAAACAATTCACTACATTTCTGCAAGAGTTAATCCATTATTCGGTTTGTGCTCGTTATGGGGGTGTGATGAACTGAAGTCGACGCTCTTCCATTATTACTTATCCTCGGTCTTTTGTCTCTGACCCTTGCCAAGTAATTGGACCATCAAATCATCCCAGTG